ACCCCCGGTCAGGGCTGAGGAGGTGGAGGGTGGCGACAGGCTGAGATAAAACATCACCATTTTAATTAGCTGAGAAGAGCCAGTCCCCCTCCCGCTGCCAGCCACCCCCGGCGCCCACACCACCATTGCCCGTTAGCCCTGCAGTCCCCCGGCACTGCCTTCTAAAGCAGGCCTGCACCCCTTCCCCGTGGCAGCAGACGCTCCTCTCTGCGTTTGTCTGGCAGAAAGAGGCGCCCAGGCTGTCCACAGCCCACCCAAACCCAGCCCTCACTCCCACCCTTGCCCTGACCCTCTCTTCCGTGGGCAGACTCTTGGCTCACCCCTCTGAGCAGCCATGTCAGTAGCCGATCCCCCGTCTCTGTGGTGCAGGCATTTGGCCCACGCTATGCATACCCAATGGTGGACAAACGGATAGTAACTGTGCAGTAGAAATGTTATCATTTATACTCGAGAGTATCTGGCTTCCAAGGAAAAACCTGGATAAGAAATCTCTTAACAGCTAAGGTCAGATAAGATACCTAAGAAAATCTTAACCAAACAGCTCCAACCCAAAATCTCAAGAATGCTTTTTTAGCCCCTAAAATGACCCACTGTAGTTCATTTATGAGCCGGTATATGGTTATGCAGTCTGTAGCAAAGATACCTTACTATATTGATAAGAGTTAAACACATTACGTCAACTTAAACAGCATTATTAGCACCATCAAAGTTTGTATTTGTAAACACTTAAAAAGGCTAAATTAGCATCAGGCACAATCCAGCAGTATTTTGTAGCACACTTTAGTGATAAGAGTATTTTAGTATTACTTAACACACATTCCAAATAGAGAGATACAAAAAGTTTTGGCTCATCAATACAAAAAAACCCACTTTAATCTTTTTAGTACAGACCCCTGAAAAGTCATCTGAAGAGCAAAACAAGGTGCTATTTTACCTTTATAGCATGGGCCTAATTCTTTCCTTGAGTACAACTAAGTCAAAAAGCACTTTGGGAATTTCTGTTTACACATTGCTTCTTAATATTTAGCTTGCCTCCCTCCCCTCTTCTTTTTTGAGCGATGATTTTCTTGACACTTTGACCACAGCTAAGTGCCTGAATTGGGTGATCTCAAGTCCTTTTGAGATTTGCTCGTTTGAAATCCAGGTCCATGTTTGACACCTAGCCTTGTGTAGCCTATTTATTTTCAGTAGAATTTATTCAAACCACAGTTATGCAGTTCATCGGAGTCCAAAAAACATTTAACAAAGTTAAAAAGCAAATAAAGTTTAGATGAGAGTAATGAAAAAAAGGTTAACTCAAAAAGAATACAATACCATTGAACTTGAACTACTACATACTCATTATAATTTAATGACAGCCTTAGAAATCTATTGCTGGAAGACAGCATAGACAAAATTTAGTATCACAGTAAACATTAAAATTTCAGTATTTTAAAACACAAATAAGAGTGTGCATTTGTACACCAATGGCTTTACAGAGCAAAGTCATCCAAAAGACTAAACTGCAGCATAAAGTCACTATCTTCAACAGAAATCATCGGGCATCAAAAACCACCACTGGAATAGTGCAGTTAAAGGAAAAAAAATGTATTGTGGTTGAAAACAGACCAACGAGCAGAAAGGGGGGGGGAGGAAAAAAAAACCCAACAAACCCAAAAGAGGCTGCCTAAATCTTAAGTCACAACTAACTACATAAAAGCATTTCAAAACTCATCCTGAATTAACCCTACAACACTTTCCTTTTGTTAAAAGGCTGACGAGTATCAACCGTCCACAGCACATCACCCAGCAGACTATCACAGCTTATTGTATTTTGTCTAGAAAATGGAAAAAAAGAGAAAAAGTGCCAGGAAGGAAAACAAGATTCCCAGTCACACTGCAGAAATTTCCCTATAGTACTTTGCTCTACTGTACTGATTGTTGGCCATGAAGGATTCTTACATAATTACTCAAAACTTCTGTTCTGTTTCCCTTATATACCTTGTGTCCACTCACAGCTTCCCAAATGCATTCAAGTGCATGTGTGAAAGGATACATCTTTTTGTCCGTTTCTTGTACATTATTCTGTAGCCACATTCTCTGCATCTGATAGGATCTCTTGCCTTTATTTCATTTTCTGTATGACATTCTGACGTGATGGAAGAAGAGAAAGGGAGTAGATAAACAAAACCAGCATTGTTAATGTATAGATAACATTTAAAAGTCGTAATAGTCAAGTTCCGATTTGTGGCAAACAAAACATAATAAAAAATATTTGTAGTGAATTTGTATCAAGAGCTGAATGATATCAAGATCTTGTGCAAAAAAAGAAAAAATAGCAAACTTTGCTTATATTAATATCAAAGAGGATCTTGCTAAAAATGACCAAATTATTACTGCACAGAATACATTCCACTCTCGATACAACTAGACTCTACTAATGAAAACTCAAGTTCAGCCCCCCAAAGCCCCAGGCTTATTTTCTTAAAAGACAAAATATTTCAGAGATTCCTGAAGTGATGACTCAAAATGACTGATTTTTAACTCATTGACATATCTATAGATAAGGTAGAATTTGACTACTGCACTTCAATAAAAGCTGAGTGACCATACAGGATTTAAAAAAAAAAAAAAAAAAAAAAAAATCTCCAAGATGCACTAAATAGAAGGTCCACTATCTGTACCACAAGCGGACACTTAGAGAGAGCATCCTCTGGAGATGGAGGACCTCCACACAGCAACTAGAGCAACAAGTTCTAGTGAGTTACTTCCAGGTCGCTATCCATTTATGTCACATATGTGTGGTACCATCAGCACGTAAAGCTTTAAAAAAACATCAGGATCCACGCTGCAACCATTTGTGTTGCGTTTCTGTACTCTTCAGTATAATGATTATGCATTCTTCATTATTAAAACACCAAATCTCCAGTAACAAGTAAAAAAATTCACCGATATCTTTTCTTTACCTCCACAAATGTAGATCATTGGCTGCTGCTTTGGAGGCTGAACGTCCTTCTGTGAGTCCATGTTCTAAACAGAAAACAGACAACATGCACAGTAGGTTGGGGTTTTTTTAATTATTTTTTCAAGGCATATGGAATCATTTCAACATCTCCGTCTAAAGCTGACAGAAGATTAAAAACTTCCTTAAAAGTAAATACAAACAAATTCTGTCTGTATTTTATGCACAGGACATTGGGTAATTCAGGTTGGAGGAGACTTCAGAAACTCATCTAGTTCAACTTCTCAAAAGCAGAGTAATACCAGATTTCTTGGAGCTTTACCAATCTGGTATAGAAAACCTCCAAAGAGGGAGACAGCACAACATTTTCTATTAAACAGGACTTTAAACATTAAAACCCAATGAGTAATATTTTCTTTCCTCCCTCCTGCCAATGCTAAGAATTTCCTTGCTGGAAATGTAAAAATAAATAATTTCTTATGTATCGCTCATGTAACAACAGTGCAATCATAAACAAGATAAGCCTTGTTATGATTTTTTTCCCTTCTGATTTAACACTAGCTAGCCTAATCTACCTTTTCATTGATTTAAGGGATTAGAAATCCTGGGATTTATGTAAGTAGAAGAGTAATAGGAATTAAACAAACAAACAAAAAAAACCCAACCCAACCCAAACAAAACAACAAGGGGCCAGAGAAAAATTCTACCCTCAAAATCCTAACATAGGTGTGTCTGACTACGTAACTGATCAAGGGTTGGATAACTCAGTGGTGCTCTTCAAACACCTCTTAATGCCCTATAGTGGTTTTGATTGTTCAGGCTTATTTGGAGACAAGTATCCCTTCACAGTA